TACTACTACTACTATTACTACTACTACTCCTAATACTACTACTACTACTACTACTACTACTACTACTACGACTACTAACCTTTTTACTATTACTCCTAACTTCTACTACTTACTTACTTCTACTACTACTACTATACGACTGCTACTACTATACTACTACTGCTACTACTATACTACTACTACTACTACTACTACTACTACTACTACTACTACTACTACTACTACTACTACTACTACTACTACTACTACTACTACTACTACTACTACTACTACTACTACTACTACTACTACTACTACTACTACTACTACGACTACTACTACTACGACGACGACGACGACGACGACTACTACTACGACTACTACGACTTCTAGTACGACTACTACGACATCTACTACTACTACTACTACTACTACTACTACTACTACGACTACTACTACTACTACTAGTACTACTACTACTACTACTACTACTACTGCTACTACTACTACTACTACGACTACTACTACTACTACTACTACTACTACTACTACTACTAGTACTAGTACTAGTACTAGTACTACTGCTACTGCTACTGCTACTGCTACTGCTGCTGCTGCTACTACTACTACTACTACTACTACTACTACTACTATTATTACTACTACTACGTTTACTACTGCAACTACTTCTACTTCTGCTAATACAACTACCACTTCTACGACGACGAAGTCGAAGACGGCGACGACGACGACGACGACGACGACTACTACTACTACTACTCCGACGAATACTTCGACTACTAGCTGGTGCAAACGGACCCGCCTCAAAGCCGGGAGGTCCCCAGGGTCTCCCCTGAGGTAGCGCACGGAGCCCAGCGGCGGCAGAACAAGGCTTCGTCATCAGAAATAATTGGCCTGGAGGCTGGTCTGTAGGGCTGGGCGTGCGCATGCCCTGGAGGCTGGTCCATGGGATTGGCAGGGGGGAAGGGAAAGGAAGCGGAAGAAAAAGAAGAGAAAGAAAGGGGAGAAGGGAATGCGGAAAAGAAAAGGAAGAAATGGGGGAAAAAAAAGATGAGAAAAAGAAAGGGGAGAAGAAACAGAAAAAAGGGGAGAAGGGAAAGGAAGCGGGAGAGGGAAAGGAAGCGGAAGAAAAGAGGAGAGAGAGGTGAAAGAGAAAGATATAGAGAGAGAGGAAACATGAGCAAAGAGAGAGGACTGACAGGAAAGGAGGGAGGGGGAGAGATAGGGGAAGAGGCGGAAGGACGGGAAAGGAGCGAGATGTGGAGAGAACGAAGCTCAGGCCAGGGAGCTGTGCTGCGAGAACGTTGGGAGGGCGAGGACGGAAAGGGACGAGAAAAGCACGAAGAGAGAGAGAGAGAGAGAGCGAAAGAGAGAAGGGAAACCCAGATGTTCTGGCGCTGGCCTCACAATACCAAACAGCAGGGCTCGAGCTAAGCCGTATTTTCCGTTTTCGTTTTCTTGTCGCTCTCCCTCGTTCTGTGTTCGCTGCCTTCGCTGTAAACCGAAGGCAAAACGAAAATGATCCACGAAATTGCCCAAACTTGGAGGCCTGGAAATGGGCACCAACACCAACACAGGTGGCTGCCTCCACAAGGGGATGATGCTCCTAGATTTCGGTGTTGGTGGTAATATTTCGGTCACCTTGAAGCCAGAATATTACCACCATCACCGAGATCGGGATCTTCTTCCCTCGGTGGAGGCACACCGCCGATACTGGTGTTGGTGTCAACCTCGAGGCCTCCGAAAAACGCCTTCTAGCTCGAGCCCCGAGACTGAGATCTCCCCCTAGCAGCGAGCTCCTCCCAGCTCCGCCACGCGCGCCTCGGGCCTGGCTGCTGGCCCCCCGCGTGCGCCGATCGCGAGGGCTCGGCGTCGCGCTCCAGCGCCTGCCAGGAGGGGGCGACGGCGGCGGCGGCGCCTGCGACGTCAGCAGCGCCCACGGCGACGACGACGACGCCGATGGCGACGACGCCGACGACGACGACGACGACGACGACGACGACGGCGGCGACGACGACGCCGACGGCGACGACGACGACGGCGACGACGACGGCGGCGGCGGCGACGGCGACGACGACGACGGCGACGACGACGACGACGGCGGCGACGACGACGACGGCGGCGGCGGCGACGGCGACGGCGGCGACGGCGGGGGCCGCGAGGGCGACGGAGGCGCCCACGGCGTCGCCTCTCGCGCTCCGCGCCGCCCGCCGGGCGCCCAGCCGGGAGGCAGAGCTCGGGGTGGGCCCCGGGCAGGAGTCCTGGGAGCCGCGGCCGATGGCCTCGCTGCTCTGGGGCACGACGTACATAGGGGAACAAAAAGTGACATAAACATAAAAACTCGGAGGTCCGCGCGGATTTCTCGGATCGGCGCTGGGGCCCCCCTGCGGGGCCTCCGGCGCCGCCCCTGGCGCGCTCCGCGCGCCAGGGAGGGGGGTCCAGCGCGGATCCGAGAAATCCGCGCGGACGTCCGAGTTTTTATGTTTATGCCACTTTTTGTTCCCCTAGTAAAGCAAAGGAGCGCGAGGTTGTCGGCCCCGCGTGCTGCATTCAGCGTTTGTTGGCGGCTCGTGCCATCTTGGCCTCCAGCGTCTCAGACGCAGGGACACCTCGATCGCCAAGATCTCGCAGATGTAAGAATCCAGCACGCGGCGAGGTGACGGAACCGCAAGAGGGGTACAGTCAACCCGCAGGGTAAGAATGCGCGATAGGATGCAAGGGCCTTGGATGGTCATTTCAAAGCCTTTCGAGCGGGGCGCGGCCAACGAAAGTGTCCAAGGATGGACCCAGGAGGCAAGGATGCGAGGGTACCCTTGGGAGGGATGCCTATCCTTACTCTGCGGGTCGACTGTAAGTCCTCGGCAATGTTTCTGCTCTAAGGGGCTACTGCTGGCCCTCGGTGCGCTGAGCCGAGCCGTGCCAAGATAAAAAAAAACTCTGTCCCAATGAACCTCCCTCGGTCCTGCGAGGCCTCCAGGAAGCCCCAAGAGGCCCCTAAGAGGCCCCAAGAGGCCCCCAAGAGCCCTCAGGAGGCCCCCAAGACGCCCCAAGAGGCCCCCAAGAGGCTCTAAGAGGCCTCCAAGAGGCCTCTTGGAGGCCCTAAGAGGCCCCCAAGAGGCCCCCACGGGCCGGCGGAATGAGCGAAGCGATTCAATAAAAAACTCTGTCCCAATGAACCTCCCTGCAGAACCTCGCCCGTCGGGAATAAGTCGTGCCCTGGCAGAGCGTGGCTGCAGCAGTCCTCTGCCTGAGAAGAGGAGAAGAGTGATCTGCTGACCCCTCCTTCGCCACTGTGCTTGCCGATTGTATTTGCGTTCCCGGTCTGTGCGATCGACGTGCTTCTTGTGTATAGCCTCCCAAACGAGGGCAAAAGTACCATCAACTTGGCGCCTCCTCCTCATCGACCTCCTCCTCCTCCTCCTCCTCCTCCTCCTCCTCCTCCTCCTCCTCCTCCTCCTCCTCCTCCTCCTCCTCTTCCTCCTCCTCCTCCTCCTCCTCCTCCTCCTCCTCCTCCTCCTCCTCCTGCTCCTCCTGCTCCTCCTCACCATCATCCTCCCACTCGACTGTCCTTCCCGAGAGGCGCGCACCTGCCCGGCAGACAGAGGATGGCCCCAGCCCTTCGAGGACGGGCCAACCGAATCGAGCCTCCTCCCTCCCTCCCCCCCTCCCTCCCTCCTGCCCTCCCTCCCTCCCTCCCTCCCTCCCTCCTCCTGCCCTCCCTCCCTCCCTCCCTCCCTCCCTCCCTCCCTCCCTCCCTCCTGCCTCCACCTCTTGGCGGAGGCGGAGGCGGACGGGGGGATGCGGAGGCCGAGGGGGCGGAGGGGAATGCTACGCTGACAACCGATGCCAGCGACCCCCTGCCAGGAGGGCAGAGAGCGGAACGATCGCCTGCAAGCGCCCAGGCCCTCTCTCGGGGCGGAGTCCCTGGCCGAGCCGCCCCCACGCACCGCTACGGCACGGCACGACTCGCAGGAGAAAGGAAGCGGCGGACGCGGGGAGGGGGAAGAGGGAGGGCGGAGAGCCCACTCACCGTGCGAGGCGGCGGCGAGGGGGAGGCAGAGGGAGAAGCAGAGGGGGGGTGGAGCGGAGGGGAGGTGTTCGGAGGCAGAAGAGGGGCGGGAGGCGGAGGCGAAGCAGAAGCGAGGTCCAGGCGGAGAAGGGAGTTAGCGGAGCGTTTCTTAGTGCGCTGATGTCCACCTGGAGGCGTGGCCTGGAGGCCAGCGCTGGTGGCCTCGACGGCCGCTGGTGCTGAGTGCCGCACGTGGAGTAGGAGTGCAGCCACTAGACTGCTCCGGGAGGACACGGGGGAAGGCGGGGGAGGGAGGAGGCATCGGCAAATAGAGGCAGCAGAGTCGACGGGGCGGAGGGAGGGGCAGGGAGGGAGGCGGAGGCGGGAGGGAGGAGGCGGAGGCGGAAGGAGGAAGCGGAGCTGGGAGGAGGACCCACGAGGGAGGAGGTAGAGGGCGGAGGGGAGGAGGCTCTGCTGACCGGGCGATGCGGTGGCGGAGGGCCCGGGGGCGCGGGCGCGGGGCGCCGTGCTCACCACCGCGGCGCTGCGCGCCGAGCGCGGACGCGCGGCGGCCTCGGCACTGGCCGAACGGCGCACCTGCGGGGCGGCGGTCGCTGCCCTGCCCTGCCCTGCCCTGCCCTGCCATCCCTCCTCATCCTCCTCCTCCTCCTCCTCCTCCTCCTCTCCTCCTCCTCCTCCTCTCCTCCTCCTCCTCCTCCCTCCTCCCTCCTCCGTCCTCCTCCTCCTCTCCTCCCTCCCCTCCTCCTCCTCATCCTCCTCTCCTCCTCCTCCTCCTCCTCCTCCTCCTCCCTCCTCCTCGTCCTCGTCCTCCTCCTCCTTCCTCCTCCTCCTCCTCGTCCTCGTCTCGTCCTCGTTCTCCCTTCCTCCTCCTCCTCCTCCTCCCCTCCTCCTCCTCCTCGTCCTCCTCCTCCTCGTCCTCCTCTGTCTCTCCTTCCTTCTTCCTCCTAATTCTCATCCTCCCTCCTCCACCTCTTCCTCCTCCTCTTCCTCCTCCTCTTCCTCCCCTCCTCATCTCCTCCTCCTCCCCCTCCTCTCCTCTTCCATCCTCGTCCTCTGCTCTTCCTCCTCTCCTCTTTTCTTCCTCCTCTTCGCCCTCCTCCTCCTCCTCCTCCTCCCTCCTCCTCCTGCCTCCTGCTCCGCGCCTGCTCCTGCTGGTGCTCTGCTCCTCTCCTGCTCTTCCTCCTCCTCCTCCTCCTCCTCCTCCTCCTCCTCCTCCTCCCCTCCCCCCGCCCTCCCCTCCTCCTCCTCCGCCTCCTCCTCCTCCTCCTCCTCCTGCTGCTCCTGCTCCTGCTGCTCCTGCTCCTGCTCCCTGCTCCTCCTCCTCCTCCTCCTCCTCCTCTCCTCCTCCTCCTCCTCCTCCTCCTCTTCCTCCTCCTCCTCTTACTCTTATTAGCTTTATTATTGTTACTAGTATTATTACTATGAATATTATTATAATTCTTATTAGTAGTAATAATAGTATTATTATTACTACTAGTATCATTATTGATATTATTGTTATTATTATTATTATTATTGTTATTATTATTATTAGTGATATTATTAGTATTATTAGTATTATGATTATTATTATTATTCGTATTATTAGTATTATCAATATTATTAGTATTATTACGCTTAGTAGTGTTAGTATTACTATTATTATCATTATTATGATTACTATTATTATTAGTATTAGTATTATTAGTATTATAGTTATTGGTATTATTATTAGTAGTATCATTATTATTATGATTATTATTATCAGTATTGATAGTATTACCATTGTTTTCATTATTATCATGAATATCAGTATTATTAGTATTATTAGTTGCACGAGTATTATTATCATTATTATTAATAATAATAAAAATAATATTCTTAGTATTGTGATTATTATTATTAATAGTATTAGTACTAGTATTATTAGTATTAGTAGTATGATTATTAGTAGTTATGTTTAAAAGTAGTAGTAGTAGTATGTTTATTCCTAATATTATTAGTGTTATTATTAGTAGTAGTATTATTAGTATTGATATTATTATTAGTATCATTAGTATTATTAGTCTTAATAATAATAATATTATTATAAGCATTAATATAATTAGTATTAGTAGTATTAGTATTATTAGCATTATTACAAGTGTTAGTATTAGTAATATTTATAATATTATTAATAGTATTCGTATTATTATTAGTAGTATTATTAGTATTAGTCTTAATGGAACGATAACTCGTATTAGTATTATTACTATTAGTATTAGTATTAGTATTATGATTATTAGTAGTAGTAGTAGTAGTAGTATTAGTATTACGATTACTATTATTATTATTATTCGTAGTAGTAGTAGCAGTAGTAGTAGTAGTACTAGTATTAGTACGATTCGTCGTATTATTATTCTTCTTATTATTATGTCTCGTATTATTATCCTTAGTCGTCTTCTTATTATTCTTAGTATTATTATTATTCTTATTAGTATGCTTATTATTCGTAGTATTCGTATGGTTATTATTAGTATTGTTAGTCTTAGCCTTCGTATTCTTCTTATTATTAGTATTGTTATTAATCGTAATAGTATTCTTAATATTCTTCCCCGTACTAATATTATTATTCGGCTTCGTATTAGTAGTCTTAGTCGTCTTCTTCTTATTTTTAATATGATCATTAATCTTATTAGTATTGATATTATTCGTCTTACGCGTATTATGATTATTATTAGTAGTATGCTTAGTATTATGGTTAGTATTACTCTTATTAGCATTATTCGCCTTAATATCATTAGTATTCGTATTCGTATTCTTCTGATTCGTCTTTTCCATAGTATTATGATTATTAGTATTAGTATGATTCGTCTTAGTATTACTATTATGATTATTAATATTCCTCCTCCTCCTCCAACTCCTGCCCTCCTCCTTCTCCTCCTCATCCTCCGCCTCCTCCTCCTCCTCCTCCTCCTCCCTCTCCTCCTCCTCCTCCTCCTCCTCCTCCTCCTCCTCCTTCTCGTCCTCCTCCTCCTCCTCCTCCTCCTCCTCCTCATCCTCCTCCTCCTCCTCTCTCCTCCTCCCTCCTCCCTCCTCCTCCCTCCCCCTCCTCCTCCTCCTCCTCCCTCCTCCTCCTCCTCCTCCTCCTCCTCCTCCTCCTCCTCCTTCCTCCCTCCGCTCCTCCTCCTCCTCCGACTCCCCTTCCCTCCTCCTCCTCCTCCTCCTCCTCCCCTCCTCCTCCTCCTCTCCTCCTCCTCCTCCTCCTCTCCTTTCTTCCGCCTCCTCCTCCTTCCTCCTCCTCCTCCGCCGCCCGCCTCCGCCTCCGCATCCTCGTCCCTCCTCCTCCTCATCCTCCTCCTCCTCCTCCTCCTCCTCCTCCTCCTCCTCCTCCTCCCTCCTCCGCCTCCTCCTCCTCCTCCTCCTCTCCTCCTCTCCTCCTCCTCATCCTCCTCCCTCCTCCTCCTCCCTCCTCCTCCTCCTCCTCCTCCTCCTCCTCCTCTCTCCTCCTCGCCTCCTCCTCCTCTCCTCCTCTTCTCCTCCTCCTTTCTCCTCCTCTCCTCCTCCTCTCCTCTTCCTCCTCCTCCTCCTCCTCCCCTCCTCCTCCTCCTCCTCCTCCTCCTCCTCCTCCTCCTCCTCCTGCCTCCTCCTCCTCTCCTCCTCCTCCTCCTCCTCCTCCTCCTCCTCCTCCTCCTCCTCCTCCTCTCCTCCTCCTCTCCCCTCCTCATCAGCATCCTCCTCCTCCTCCTCCTTCTCCTCCTCCGCCTCCTCCTCCTCCTCCTCCCTCCTCCGCCGCCTCCCCCTCCTCCCCTCCTCCTCCTCCTCCTCCTCCTCCTCCTCCTCCGCCTCCTCCTCCTCCTCCCCCGCCCTCTCCACCCTCTGGCGCCGCGCCTGCGGCGCCGTGGCAGCTGGGGCACCGCGAGGGGTGTGTGCCGCCGCAGGCCCAAGCTGGCGCGCCGCCAACCCGTCAGCACACCTGCCGAAAGAGACCATCCTCGACGTCAATGTCCTCCTCAACCTCCGAATTACCATCACCAGCACCGTCGCCACCGTTTCCATCAACGCCACCATCATGATAAGCAGCATCGTCCACCACCCTCATCATCATCATCATCATCATCATCATCATCATCATCATCATCATCATCATCATCATCATCATCATCATCATCATCATCATCATCATCATCATCATCATCATCATCATCATCATCATCATCATCATCATCATCATCATCATCATCATATCATCATCATCATCATCATCATCATCATCATCATCATCATCATCATCATCATCATCATCATCATCATCATCATCATCATCATCATCATCATCATCATCATCATCATCATCATCATCATCATCATCATCATGATCATCATGATCATCATCATCATCATCAGCATCATCACATCATCACCATCATCATCATCATCATCATCGTCATCATCATCATCATCAGAATCATCATCATCATCGTCATCATCATCATCAGCATCATCATCAGCTTCGTCAGCATCATCATCAACATCAACAGCAGCAACATCACCATCCGCATCACCATCATCATCATCACAATCATCATCGTCAGCATCATCATCATTATTATCATCATCGTCAGCATCATTATAACCACAATGATCAACAACAGCATTATCATCATCACCATCATCATCCTCGTCATCAACATCATCATCATCATCATCAGTAACATCAGCATCAGCATTATCATCATCAGCAGCCTCAGCGCCATCGTCATCACCAGCATCAGCATCATCATCAGCATCATCATGATCAGCCTCATCATCGTCACCGTCATAACGCCACCGCCATAAATACCATCAGCGTCATCAACACCATCATTATCATCGGCACCATCATCACCATCATCAACATCAGGACCACCATCATTATCATCACCATCATCATCATCCGCATCATCAACATCACCATCATCATCATCATATGTAGGTTCCCCACCCGTCCTTATTGTTCAAGGTTGCGATATATGTCATCCGCACGTGGTGTGTGCGAGCCAATCGAGCATCGATGCTGGCGGCGGCAGCGAGCGAACGACACACTGCAACCAGCATCAGCTGCCGCTCAGAACTGTGTTTGCGGCCCGCCGTGAGCAAGGACGGGTCTCTGTCTATCACAGAAAATGGGCGCGAGGCTTGAGCGAAATGGAACGGACTCTGCGCTGCACCCCCTACACGCTTAAAAGAAAAATCGGAGGTTACCCACCCATCATTGATTGTCACAGCTGTGATATCGGCCATCCGCATGTGGCGTGCGAAACCCAATCGATCAACGACGGCGGCGGCGGCAGCGAGCGAACGACACACTGAAACCAACATCATTTGCCAATCTTCGAGGCATGCAGCGGTCGCGATCTGTCCTGCAACGCACGTCGATTTTTTTGGGATGGGGAGGGCGACAAGGGAACGAGTGGAGACTCTGCCTGAAGACGCGATCAAAAGCGCCGTCAATGAACACTTCGGCCACCGCGTTACACAAAGCTCTGGATAGGCGGCAGCGCGAGCTGCCCAGTGAACACCGAGGCCATCACGGCCCTGACGGATATGGTACTTCTTATTCGTGATGGGTCGACAACGCTTGAAAAAATCGCAGGCCCGAGGAAGAGGGAAAACGGGAAACCTGGTCGGCTTGCACCATGGAGCACCCCAGCCACAATAGTTAGTGATACTATATCGTACACCAGGCTAACGTGAAACACGACGGGCGGAGCCTACTTTCCACCCGTCGGATGACTGAGGGTTCCCCCATAAGAAGAAAAGAACACGCATCTGTTGACAAGCTTTCATTATCTGACTAGACATCTGTCGTATTCGATTGCCCTGATCAACTACGGACTGAGAAGGAGGTGGAGCGGGGGGGGGGCCATAGGATGGCCATTACTACGAGATGTCGTCGTGGCCACCACCACGGGCAATAAAGAAGCTCTTGCAGGGGGCTCCCGCGAGGGGCCCGAGACATTGGTCACTTTTGATCATGCGCAAGACCCGACGGAGGATAGAGGGCCTAAGGAGGTCACCATATGAACCCTGCAAAACATCGAAAGAACACACAGAAACCACGTTTCCTGAGAGCGTTCGAGAACTGCTCTGACCCTGAGAACACTTCGATGACAAAGAATTGGCCGGCCTTGGCTCTAGACGGACGCAGGCGGAGACTCTCGCGACGCTTCTCGCGCTTCTCGCGACGGCGGACGGGCGCGGGTTGCGCCTACCTGCCGCGACGCTGAACCTCCAGCAGCGAGATCCACCCGTGAATCGGTCGATCGAGGCTCCGCTGCGCCGCGCAATGCACAGCACGGGCTGCAGGCCGTCGACGCCGAGGGAGGCTGCTGCGCTGTCGAAGGTCCGCTGCACATCTGTCATGGTGAACGTCCAGAGCGGGTCAGTCGGCGCGACCTGGCTCTGCTTCACGATGAGAGAGGCCAGCCCAGGGCGGGCAATCTCTACTGTCTCGTCCATCTCGCCCGTCTTGTTCGGCCTCCTGAGTTAGTCAGGATTGCTGCGCATCGTCGCCTTGAGGCGGCAGCAACTGGCCCTCTGTCAAGCGGCGTGAGTCGCCAGGTCTGAGGTAGGTGTCGACCATCAGCAACCAGTAGAGGGACATCTCCACCTTGCCACTAAGCTGTCACAGCCACCGAGCCACGCCCACGCAGGCTGCCCAGGGCAGCGGGCGGCGCGTCCACGACGGCCGCGGCACCCTCCAGCCCGCAGCGAAACATGCGCACGAGGATGCGCGAGGTGGCCCTTGATCTGGTTGTCGGGCACGCGCGCTGCGACGGCGGCGACCAGCTTCTCGCCCGTCGAGGCGACCCTCCCCGCAAGGTACAGCTCATCGAAGAACCCCACCACGGCGGAGTCCAGCACGTGCGCGGCAACTCCCAGCGCCCCCAGCTTGGTGGCTGTAAGGAACTGCTCCAATAGGTTGCGGCACTGCTGGCGGCTGCGCTTCCCCGCGGCGGCGGTCTCGGCGATGGGGGGCCGGCGGGAGGCGCCCCGCGCCTCCTCTCCAGCATCTAGACGGCGCCGCGCAGACCTCGGCATCTCCCGAGGGGGGATCGGGGACGCGATAGGCGGCGCGAAGCTCGGCAGGAAGGGGCGCTCCACCAGGCGGCAGCCTGAGCTGAGACTCGCACCAAGGGAAGGGCCCGAGCAGCCGTCGGCGGCGGCCGAGCTGGAGCTGCCCGCCCAGGCCGCGAAGGCGTCTGGGGGCCAGAGCCCAGGGGCGCCCGCGGCAGCCTGTGGGCGGCCGCTGGCACCGCAGCGGCGCCGCAGCTGGCGGCCCTGCGCAGCAAGCGCTCGCCAGTCCGCGGCCCGTGCTCGTCGTCCGTCAGCACGCTCGCGGGCGCGGCTGGCGCCATCGACGCCGTTCAGCTCGCTGTGCACCCGTCGCCCCTGGACACGCGAGCCCGTGGCCAACGCGAGGGCGGCCCGCCTGCGAAGCATGTTGAAAACGTAAATATCACGGCAGCGACCTTTCGAGACCGCGAGTGCAAGTGCAAGATTACCCCCCAAGACAGCGCGCCTCTTCCCCCGGGAATCCGCACCCGACTGAATCAGCTCGGCGGCGCGTAGACCTCCTCTTGCTTCTTTTTGGGGCGTAGGTTCCGCCCTGAACAGCGGGGCGCAGCGAAGCACTTGCCAGTTGGAGCGGCACAGACACTTCGGGGAAGCTTCTGTCAGACTCACCCCACAACGCTGCGAACGACGGCTCGGCGTCAAGCAAGGCGGCCCTGGCAGCGCGAGCCGCGCGGCCACGCGGCCGCCGGCCGCCGCCCCCCTCGCGCGCGCGCGGCGGAAACGCCACTTCTCGTGCCAGCGCCCTACGGTGACGATGGCATCCATGTCCCACGCGGCGACCGTCGAGGCATAGCCCGGCCCGCAGCATCCGCCACGACCACCTCGGGGGGCCAGGGGGCGCCCAGCTGCGAGCTCAGCGCGATGAGGAGGCCTCGGGAGATCTCCAGCTCCCCCGCGCTGACGCCCACGACGGCCGAGCACGCTGATACCCCTGCCGAACAGAGGCGCAAACGGCGCTGAAGCAGCTCAGGCTCTCGAGGCGATAGAGTGCCGGGATGGCGCAGTGGCTCGGCACACCCCCGACGTCGCGGCCAGTCATTCTCGGGCGACGCTGCGCCAGATAGCCGAGGCCGAGGGACAATTTCCAGGAGCGGCGAAGCGCCAGCGCGGCTCGCGCAGGCCACCCCCCCGACTGCCCCCACCAGCATCGACGCGGAGCCCGCCGCGTCGGCCTCGTCGCGCAGGGCGAGCCCCGCGGCCTTCAACCTGGGAGGCCAGCCGCCCGACGCGCGCCACCCCCCCCGACCCGCGCCGACGACGAGCGCGCTGCCGACGCAGAGGGAGCGGACCGGCTCGGCAGGCGGCGCCGGCGGCGGAATGAAGTCAACGGCCCGCAGCTCGGGCCCGAGGGCGTCGCAAACAACCGGCACGCGCTCGCAGGCCCCCTGCGCGAAGTGGAGCGCCCAGCCCGAGCCCATCGGCGCCGCGGCCAGCTGCGGGCACAGGCGGGCCCACGGAGCCACGCGACGACCGCCCAGCCCGGCGACGCCCAGCTCGCCCGCGGCGACAGCGGGCAGGCAGAACAGCAGTCGCAGGTGGGCAGGCAACTTGCGCTGGCAGAAAGCATTCTGGACGTCGACCACCGCGAAGTTGAGCGGGGCTCCCCCGGGCACCCCTAGGTTCACACGGCCCGCGGCTGGGGAGATGCTAACTGGCGGAGGAAACTGGAATCGTTGATTGCTCCTCCTGTAGTCGAGCCCATTCTGATACGGCTGTACTTCTTGGCAACGAAGAACGCCCCAACGCCCAACTCTAGTCTTGCCAGCCACTGAGACCCACCTGGAAATGCCCGACTTCACGAAATCAATGTACATCGTCCAGTTCTTTCCTAGCACAGGGCCCACGCAAAGCGCGGGCCCTCCGCCCTCCTCCACGACAGCGCCAGAGCTCGTCGGCGGCAGCAGCGAGGCGCGGTCGAGGTCCAGGCGAGAACGTCGGTCGCGGGCCCCGAGTCAATTAGCAAGCCAGCCAGGCCCGTTCCCACGTTGGGGCCAGCTCACGGGGCGCCGCGCACGCGGCCTCAGCGGTAGATCGATAGACGCGTCGTCGCAGCGAAGACACGGGCGGCCCAAGCTCTGAACAGGCCCCCTGGGCCGACGCGTCCGCTGGCGCCTCCATCTGCCGACGCAGGCGGCGGACACGTCGAAGTAGAAGGCCACCCACGTCAGAGAAAGCGCCCCGGCGTGCACCTCGGTGCGGTGGAGACCCCAAGCGCGTCGAGGCGCTCCACGGTTCCCAGAACACGCCCCTCGATGGACTGAGCACAGCGAGTGCGAGCCTGAACCCAACGGGATATCCCAGAGAGCGCGGGGAGAGCGGCGCGGCAGGGACAGCAAAAGAAAGAACCCCGTCACCAGGAGGACCACCTGCGTCAGGTCGACAAAACTGGCTCTCACGAATCGGCGGACGGGTCAAGCCACCTCCCATCCGCCGACTCCAGGTCACCCCTGCCCCTTCCGGCTGGCGGCGGCGCTCGCCTCCTCGCGCGCCTTCCGCCGCCGATTCTGGATCTCGGTCCCCTTGGCGAGCTGCTCGGCGGCGCACTTGGCAAGCCCAGGCGCCGCGGCCACGCCGCGACGCGCGCTCTGCTTCGAGCGGCCGACATAGTGCTCGATCCCCTTCAATCTTCATGCTGCCCACGGTCTCCTCGACCAACTGGCACGCGCGGGCGATCGCCTCCGCGCGCGCCAAGTTCGAACCGTCGCCCCCGGGGGGCCCGGCCCGGCCGGCTCGCGCGCGGGGGGGGGGGGGGGCAAAGGTCCCATCGGGCCCCGCCGCGAGGCCCCAGAGGGCTCCAAGCAGCCCCCGCGACAGCCCAAGAGACCCCCGAGACGCCCAAAGGTCGGCCCAAGACGCCCACGATGTCCCCAAGACGGCCCCAGAAGCCCCCCAAACGGCCCAGGAAGCCCCCAAGAGCATTCCCAAGAGGGGCCCCAGAGGCAGAAATCGTCGAATTCCCATGGGGGAAAACGCATTTTTAAATCACGCGCGACTTCACGGCCTTCACGGCGCTGAAGACGGCCCGGGAGTTCCCCGAGACCGCCCCAAAACGGCCCAAGAGCCCCCCAAGAGGTGCTAGAAACGGCCCAAGAGGGCGCCAAGACGGCCCAAGAGGCTCCAAAGACGGCCCAAGAGTGCCCCTAGACGGCCCGAAGAAGGGGCCCAAGAGGGGGAGCTCGAACCAATAATCCGAGCCCCCGCCCCAAAACGGCCCGAGCGGGGCCCAAGAGGCGCCCAACGAAGCCCGCGAGGCCCCCAAGATGCCCCCCAAGAAGCCCCAAGAGGCCCACAGGAAGCCCCAAGGCCCCCATGAAGCTCAAAAGAAGCCCCAAGTACCACATGAGGCACGCAACTCCCAACCCGCAACCCAGACACCAAGGATCTCAGGGCGACAACCAATGCACGGCGGCGGAATGGGCTGAAGGCCACTATGTGTGTATATATACATACATACATACATACATACATACATACATACATACATACATACATACATGCATGCATGCATACATACATACATACATACATACATACATACATTACATACATACATATATACACACGCGGGCATCCACCTCGATCGAGAAGAAGAAGAGGAGAAGGACAAGGAGGAGGAAGAGGAGGAGGAGGAGGAAAAAAGAAGAACGAAGATTTCGTCGTCGCCGCCGATGTCTCACAAATGTTCGCGATCTTTCGACCACCCGAGGCATCTCCTCGAATTCAGCCTCCAAAAACCGTTTTCGTCGCCGGGCACCACCGCCGAAAGTCCGGGATGAGGATCGACCTTCCCAGCAAAGGAACGAGCACGGGGCGGATCGAAGCTCGAGGCATGAGACTCCTAACTATTGGGCGTTCTCCGCCCCCTCTGGGCCTTCAGGAAGCTCCTCGTTGACACAGCTGGGTCCACTCTCGAACTTCTGGCCGGGCGCAACCCCGGCTGGGTCTCAACGATCCCCAAGCCTATCTAGGAGTTGGAGAAGGAGGCCTGCGACAGGCCAAGCGACGGCCCCAAGAAACCCACATAGGACCACGAAAAATTTCAAAACAATCCCCTACAAGGCCCCCCCTTGAACCCCACGCGCTACGTAGGACAAGCCGAAACCCCAAGATTGCCCAGCGATCGCGCGCGCACCGCGGATTCTGTCTTTCACTCTTGCTGCCGCCCCAAAAGGTCGGCGGCGCGGGGTAGCCAATGAATCATCGAGGATCTCCTGACGCATCTGGCCGACTGAATCCCGAACGTCCCGACGGCGGCGTCCGTCGGGATTGCGCATCTGGGGTCCCAGCAGGCGTGCATCATCTTCGTCGTCGTCGCCAGCATGATGGCCGGCGATCGGAGTCGGCACCAGCTCCATCGGCACGACGAAGCAAGTCGGACTACCACGCAGGCCGCTCTTGCCCCACATGACATCCCCAGGAGCCAGTGTGATCTCACCGCCACGCTGCATCTCGTTAGACACAGACTTGGCGTAGACCCATGCCAGACCAAGGACGGGCACCTCCGCGCTCACGAGCACGCAGTCGCCCGCAGGGTCTGGCACGGGCGCGGCGGCCCCCCCAGCATCCATCAGCTCCCCGCCCCTGGCGTCGTCGTCCAGACCTGGTGGCGCGGCTACCAGCGGGGGAGGGGCGCCGGGCCGACATGCGGGGCAGCGGGGCCCTTGCGGCCCACGCGGCGGTAGAAGCCTGGCACCTCACCGAAGCTGACAGTGGAGGCGCCGCCGAGGATGTCACCATTCCGCACGAACAATAGGAAATCCGACACATTGAGGCCAGCCGCCCGCGAATCCCGTCTGGCGGCCCGAACCATATCGAGCAGCTCGGCCTCCGTCGGGCAGGCGGCGAAGCGGTAGATCCGAGCGGGGGTGGCCCCGAAGGTCAGCGGCGCCATGTGAGGACCATCCCCGTCAGTGCCGTTGGCAATCTCCTCGTCTTACACGTCGCCGTCGGGAGTCATGATCGTCCATCGAGCGGGTGGCTGCTGAGCGTCCGCGGGCCAAATCACGACCCGCTCGTGACATATGCCGCCGCCGCCGCCGCGGCGGCGGCGCCCCCCTCCGCTTGGAAGAGCTGCAGCCGAGGAAGCAACGCCATGACGGACGCGGCAGTGGCTGAAAACACTCACGACCTGCGTTAAGATGCCCGTCGAGACCAGCCCTATCGAGTGGACGTAGAACAAGTCTGCGTCGCTGTGCTGCTGCGCCTGGCCTTTGCGGAGCTCCTGCAGGTGCCACGCCAGCGCCGCCACCTCCGCGTACAGTCGCGAGAAGTCCTCGAGACAGCTTGAGAGGTTGCGGGCGTATGCTGTGGCCCGCTCAGCCTCGCGAGAGGCGGCCTCCGCGGCGAGGGTCGAGGACGGCGGCTCGCCTGGGGGTCCCCCTCCGCCACCGCTGCGCACCAGGCCAGACAGCGTCCAGTGTGCACCAGGCGCAGTCCAGCAGCCAGCGAAGGATGCGCGGTTGGATGGGGCGCATAGCAGACAGGTGCTGCCTGAAGGTAAAGGGCTTGAGCAAAATAGAACGGAGCCTGTGTTGCACACCTACACGTTCGCAGGACAAGTCATCATCATCATCATCATCATCATCATCATCATCATCATCATCATCATCATCATCATCATCATCATCAGCATCAGCATCATCATCGTCATCATCATCATCATCATCATCGTCATCATCATCATCACCACCACCACCAAAACCACCACCACCACCATCAGCATCATCATCAGCAGCAGCATAAGCATCATCATCATCATCCTCATCATCATCATCATCATCAGCATCAGCATCAGCATCAGCATCAGCAGCAACATCGTCGTCGCCATCAGCATCAGCATCAGCATCAGAACCATCATCATCATCATCATCATCATCATCATCATCGTCATCATCATCAGTATCAGAATCATCAGAATCAGCGTCTCCATCATCATCATCATCAGCAGCAGCAGCATCATCACCATCATTTGCAGCATTATCACCTTACTAGTATTCTTCTTCAGCATCATCATCATCATCATCATCATCATCATCATCATCATCATCGCCATCGTCGCCGTCATCATCATCATCATCATCATCATCATCATCATCATCATCATCAGCATCATCATCAGCAGCAGCATCAGCATCATCAGCATCATCATCATCATCATCATCGTCATCATCATCTTCATCATCACCATCATCAGCATCATCATCGTCGTCGTCGTCATCATCCTCATCATCCTCATCATCATCATCATCATCATCATCATCATCGTCGTCGTCGTCGTCATCATCATCATCATCATCATCATCATCATCAGCATCATCATCATCATCATCATCATCATCATCATCATCATCATCATCATCATCATCATCATCATGATCATGATCATCATCATCATCATCAACAACATTATCAGTATCATCATCATCATCATCATCATCATCAGCATCATCACCAGCATCAGCATCATCATCACACTAACCAGCATCGTTAGCAGCAGCTGCGTCAGCAGCAGCATCAGCATCACAACCACCATCATCCCAGCCTGACAGAATGGTGACGATGATGATGATGCTGATGGTGGTGGTGGGAATGATGATGATGATGGTGATGATGATGGTGATGATGATTAAAATGATGATGAAGAGAATGAAATTAATGAGTATGATGATGGTGTTGATGATCATGATGTCGAAGGTGATGATGAGGATGATAATCACAACGATGATGATGAGTATGATGATGATGACGACGATGATGATGATGACGGAGGTGATGATGATGACGATGCTGAGGGGGGGATGATGAGGATGATGACGACGCTGATGATGAGTATGAGTATGCTTATGATGATGACGACGACGATGATAATGAATATGAAGACGATGCTGATGATGATGATGGTGATGATGATGGTGATGATGATGAGGATGTTGAGGGGGGGGGGTGTTGATGATGATGGCGACGCTGATGATGAGTATGAGTATGATTATGATGATGACGACGGCGATAACGAATATGAAGACGATGCTGATGGTGATGGTGATGGTCATTATGATGGTGATGATGATGATGGTGATGCTGATGATGATAATGCTGCGGATGGTGATGCGGATGACAATTAGGATGAGGATGATGGCGATGAAGATGATGATGGTAATGGTGATGATGATGGTGGTGATGATGGTGGTGATCATGATGGTGATGATGATGGTGATGATGGTGTTGGTGGTGATGGTGGTGGTGGTGATGCTGATGGGGAGTCTGGTCGGGGGTACGTGGTGTCTCCCTGTGATGTGGGCCCATGGGACTTCACCGTCTCTCACGCGGGCGCTCGCCCCAGCGAGAATACAAACTTGTGATGATGGCGGGGAGACAGCAGCATCGTCGGTGCGTGGTGTGTTCGCTGTCCCCTCTTCCTCCTCATCGCCCTTTGTCCTCATCCTCCTCCTCCTCCTCCTCCCCCTCCTCCTCCTCCTCCTCCTCCTCCTCCTCCTCCTCTTTCCCCTCCTCCGCCTCCTCCGCCTCCTCCTCCTCCTCCTCCTCCTCGTCCTCCTCCTACTCCTCCTCCTCCTTCTCATCCTCATCATCCGCCCTGCTACTCCTCCTCATCTTCATCCTCCTCCTCATCATCATCCGCATCCTCCTCATCCTCCCCCTCCTCGTCCTCCCCTCGCCCATCCCTCCCCGCTGTCTCCCACTCCTCCCGTCGCATACCACGCAGCTGCCACCAATGCAGAGCGCCCGTAAAGGACCCAGCGGGGGACGGAACCTGTCCTTCGACAGCCGATCTCGCCCGCACCGCCCCACCCTCCTCCTCCGTCTCCTACTCCTCCTCCTGCTCCTCCTCCTCTTATCATTATTCTTATTATTATTCGTATTATTCGTAGTCTTCTTCTTATTACGATTAGTAGTATTCTTAGTATTGTGCTTAGCCTTCTTCTTATTATTCGTACTCGTATTGTTATTAGTAATATTAGTAGTAGCAGTAGTAGTATCAGTCTTATTCCCCGTATTATTATTCGTATCCGTATTATGATTAGTCTTACGTTTCTGAGTATTCGTCTTAGTAATATTCGTCTGAGTATTCATATTATTAGCCTTATTATTATTAGTAGTAAAATCAATATTCGTGTTATAAGTATTATTATTCACAATCGTATTCTTAGTATTATTATTCTTATTCTTCTAAGTATTATTATTATGCGTATTAGTAGTATGATTATGCTTATTATTATTTCTCTTCTTAGTAGTATTCTTCTTAGTCGTATTATTATTGTTATGTGTCTTATTCGTCGTTTTCTTCCTCGTATTCCTCCTCCTCCTCCTCCCTCCCTCCGTCCTTCCTTCCTTCCTTCCGTCCTTCCCTCCCTCCCTCCCTCCCTCCTCCGCCTCCTCCTCCTCCGTCTCCTCCTCCTCCTCCTCCTCCTCCCCCTCCTCCTCTTCCTCCTCCTCCTCCTCCGCCGCCGCCTCCTCCGCCTCCTCCTCCTCCTCCTCCTCCTCCTCCTCCTCCGCCTCCTCCCTCCTCCTCTCTTCTTCTTCTTCTTCCTCCTCCCTCCTCCTCCCTCCCCCTCCACTTCCTCCGCCTCCTCCTCCTCCACATCCGCCTCCTCCTCTTCCTCATCCTCCTCCTCCTCCTCCTCCTCCAACTCCTCCTCCAACTCATCCTCCTCATCCTACTCCTCCTACTCCTCGTCCTCCTCCTCTCTTCCTGCTCCCCACCACCACCACCACCACCGACGTCATCATCATCATCATCATCATCATCATCATCATCATCATCATCATCATCATCATCATCATCATCATCATCATCATCATCATCATCATCATCAGCATCATCAGCATCATCATCATCATCATCATCATCATCATCATCATCATCATCATCATCATCATCATCATCATCTTCTGCATCATCATCAACAGCAGCATCAGCATCAGCATCATCATCATCATCAGCATCATCATCATCATTATCATCATCAGCATCATCATTATCATCTGCATCATCATCATCATCATCCTCATCAGCATCAGCATCATCATCATCATCATCATCCTCATCCTCATCCTCATCCTCATCCTCAGCATCAGCATCATCATCATCATCATCATCATCAGCATCAGCATCAGCATCATCATCATCATCATCATCATCAGCATCATCATCTTCTTCTGCCTCATCATCAACAGCAGCATCAGCATCAGCATCATCATCATCATCAGCATCATCATCGTCATCATTATCATCATCAGCATCATCATTATCATCTGCATCATCATCATCATCATCATCATCATCATCATCATCATCATCGTCGTCGTCGTCGTCATCATCATCATCATCATCATCATCATCATCATCTGATTATTCTTCTTCTTCATCATCATCGTCAGCAGCATCAGCATCATCAGCATCAACATCATCATCATCAGCATCATCATTATCATCAGCATCATCATCATCAACATCGTCATCGTCATCGTCATCATCATCATCAGCAGCATCAGCATCAGCATCATCATAATCATACTCATCATCATCATCATCATCAGCATCATCATCATCATCATCATCATCGTCATCATTACCACCACCATCATCAGCATCATCGTCACCATCATCATCAGCATCATCATCCTACTCGTCCTCATCCTCATCCTTATCCTGATCCTCATCCTCATCGTCGTCATCATCATCAGCAGCATCAGCAGTAGCATCATCATAGTCAGCATCATGTTCAGCAGCATCATCGTCATCATCATCATCGTCATCATCAACATCAGCAGCAGCAACATCATCAGTATAATTGCCACCAGTGTCATCACCATATCATCCTCACCATCATCGACGTCATCATCATCATAATCATCATAATCATCATCATAATCACCCGTATCACCACCATCATCATAATCCTCACCATCATCAGCAACATCGTCATCATCATCAGCAGCAGCATCAACATCATCGGCATCAGTAGCATTAGCATCATCATCGTCATCATCAGCATCATCAGCATCATCATCGTCATCATCAACAGCATCAACATCGTCAGCATAATCATCAACATCATCAGCATCATCGTCAGCGTCATCATCATCATCATCATCATCATCGTCGACATCATCATCGTCATCATCATTATCGTCATCAGCAGCACCATTGTCGTCGTCATCACCATCACAACCACAACCACCACCACCACCATCACCATCGTCATCAGCATCATCATCATCATCATCATCAGCAGCAGCAGCATCGTCATCATCATCAACATCATCATCATCAACATCAGCAACAGCATCATCAGCATCAGCAGCATCATCAGCATGAGCATCATCATCATCAGCAGCAGCATCATCATCAGCATCAGCATCATCATCAGCATCAACATCATCATCATCAGCAGCAGCACTAGCATTATTAGCATCATTGGCATCATCAGCATCATCATCACCACCATCGGCATCCGTTCTCACCGTCGTCATCAGCATCAGCGTCAGCATCAGCATCAGCATCAGCATCACCATCACCATCACCGTCAACGTCATCATCGTCAGCAGCAGCACCATCAGTATCGTAATCATAATCAGCAACAGCAGCATCAGCGTCAACCTCAGCATCATTATCAGTAGCAGCATCATCATAATCATCATCAGCCTCGTCATCACCAACATCATCGGCGTCATCCTCCACAGCAGCATCATCCTCATCATCAGCATCATCATCGTCATCATCAGCAGCAGCATCAGCATCAGCATCATCATCAGCAGCATCACTTGTATTAGCATCATCATCATCATCATCATCATCATCATCATCATCATCGTCATTATCATCATCAGCATAATCATACTCAGACAATCATCAATATCCTCCTCACCATCGTCACCAACACCACCGCGTTCTTTATCATCATCATCATCAGCAGCATCATCATCATCATCATCAGCATCATCATCATCATCATCATCATCATCATCATGATCATCATCAATTTCCTGCTCACCATCGTCACCACCAACACCACAACTCTCATCATCACCACCACAACCACCACCATCATCACCATCATCGCCACCAACATCATCATCAACATCGGCATCATCAATGTCCTCATCAGCATCATAACCGTCCTCATCATTATCAGCATCATCAGCAGCCGCATCGTCATCATCAGCAGCATCATCGTCGTCAGCACCATCAGTACCATCATCGTAAGCATAATCGTCATCGCCATCATCATGCTCAGGAACAGCATCGTCGTTATCATCATGATCATCAATAGATGAATATAATCGCAATCGTAATCATCACCCGTCATCATCGTCACCATCAGAACAGCAGCATCAACATCATCGGCATCAGTGTCAGAGCATCAGCAATAGCATCAGCATCAGCTCATCAGCATCAGCACTAACATCAGCATCAGCAATAGCATCAGCATAAATGTGGAAGCATCCGTATGAGAGCATCAGCATCAGCATCAGCATCAGTATCAGTAGCATCGCTCATCATCGCTAGCCTCCTCCTCCTCCCTACACATTGACGCTTGACAATGCAGGCGGTTCTGCTGTCTCGAGCTGGCGCCTTCGACGGCCCTGCTCCTGGACGCTGCCAGGGGGAGGGCATGACAAGCAAATAGGTCAGGCGAAGAGGAAGGAGCGACACCGAACGACGAACAGGAGCACTGATGCCAAAAGAAAGGGGACAGTGGAGGCTAGTCCACAAGAAACTTTCCACAAGAAACCCAACCCCGAGGCCCCACGACGTCCATTGATTTTCGGTGGGAATGTCACGCTTTCCATAGCAAAACCATCGAAACCCGAGAAACCCATGGGCACCCTGGAGGCAAGTAGGGTGTTTCTTGACATGGGCCCCCACTGTAAGTAGAGGCTGGTGCCAGCGCATGCATGCATGGTAGACTGCGGCCCATGCCGAACTAAGAGGAGACCGACCCAACCGTGATTGCACTTGGTGTGGAGGGAGGCGGTACGGCAGGAAGAAACATAGTGAGGGGTCCAAGCATTGACGGTTGCCCTGAATGCTACCGGCGTGCCGCGGTAGTGGTGGGTGGCCCGAACATGGATCACACTCTCCCGAGGATGGCTGGCCCGAGCGCGGACCCCATACTCCCGAGGGGAATTCCTCCTCCTCCTCTTCCAGCTCATCCTAATCCTCCTCCTCCTCCTTCTGGGCCGGAGCTATATATGTTTCACCCCCCCTCGGTTGCCTTCTCACCGAGAAGCTGTCGTGGGCTGCCGCTCCGATCCGATCCCACCTCCTCCTGCTCCTCCTCCTCCTCCTCCTCTTCCTCCTCCTCCCTCCTTCTCCGCCTCCTCCCTCATCCTCCTCCTCCTCCTCCTCCTCCTCCTCCTCCTCCTCCTCCTCCTCCTCCTCCTCCTCCTCCTCCTCCTCTCTCCTCCTCCCTCCCTCCTCCTCCCTCCCTCCTCCTCCCTCCCTCCCTCCCTCCCTCCCTCCCTTCCCTTCCTTCCTTCCTTCCTTCCTTCTCCTCCTCCTCCTCCTCCTCCTCCTCCTCCTCCTCCTCCTCCTGCTCCTCCGCCTCCTCCTCCTCCTCCGCCTCCTCCTCCTCCTCCTCCTCCTCCTCCTCCTCCTCCTCCTCCTCCTCCTCCTCCTCCTCCTCCTCCTCCTCCGCCGCCTCCTCCTCCTCCTCCTCCTCCTCCGCCCTCCTCCTCCCGAGAGCGGAGCCGACGCGCGCCCCTGGGTCCTGGGCCTCGCGGGCCTGGCGTCGGGCGAGGCGCCCCGCCGCATCAGCTCGCCCGCGGCCGCCGCGGCCGTGGCGACTGCGGCGGCCGCCACGGCCACGGGCTCCCGGGCGGCCCCCACGCGGGCATCCGGGAGGGGGCCCGCCGCCTGGCCGGGCGGAGGGCTCTGGCACGGCGGGCCGAGCGGGGCGGGCAGGCGGAGCAAGGCGAGGCGAGGCTCGGGGATCTACTGGCCCGGGCAGGAGGAGGAGGAGGAGGAGGAGGAGGAGGAGGAAGACGAGGAGGAAGACGAGGAGGAAGAAGACGAGGAGGAGTAGGAGGAGGAGAAGGAAGACGAGGAGGAGGAGGAGGAAGACGAGGAGGAGGAGGAGAAGGAGGAGGAGGAGGAGTAGGAGGAGGAGGAGAAAGAGCCAGGCTCGGGGTCCATCAGGCTCCGCAGCGTCCTGCAGGCTCCTGCGGGCTCCTGCACCCCAGCCCGGGCCCGGGCAGCCCGGGCCCGGGCAGCCCTGGCTCTGCAGGATCCTGCAAGATCCAGCGCTCTGCCTGACCCCCGTGTGCCTCGACCCCCGCCTCTGGCGCCGGTGCAGGCGCGGTGCCCCGGGGAGGGCGGGCGGCGAGGCTCGCGCAGCACCGGGCGAGCGCCGCGCGGGCGAGACGGGCAGAGGTGCCCGGAGGGCGCATCCGCCGTCTGCTCGCGCAGAGACGAGAGCCCGCTCGGAGGTCGGGGGGCGAGGCTTCGGGGATCTTCTGACCCGGGTCAATGCAGACCCTGGTCAGGCAGGCCCCGGTGAGGCCTTGCCAGAGTCCTGCAGATCCTGCAAGGTCCCGCGCCCAAACCCGGGTCGAGGCGGAGGATCCTGCAAGATCCTGCAGCATCCTGCACCCGAGCCCGGGTCAATGCGACCCTGTCCCTGCAGGATCCTGCAAGACCCGGCGCTCTGGCTGACCCCCGTCTGCGGTGACCCCCGTCTCCAGGCTCCCGAGGAGAGGTCCGAGGTCGCAGGCCGGGCGGCGAGGTCGCGGTGGAGCGGGCAGCCACCCCCCCCTGGAGATCGGCTTCGGCTGCGTGCTCGTGTCGTGCGCGCGGGCGGGGCGAGGCTGCGGTGGGCGCGCAGGGCCGTCGCTGGGGCAACTCGGATGCAGTGGACCGCCCCAGCGCCCCCGGTAGGCGCGCGGTGGCCCAGGGGGTCCCGCCGCAGTGTCCTGTGGTGTCCCGTCTTGTGTTCCGTCGGTGTGCCGTCGGCGGCGGGCGGGCGGTGGCTGGGGGCAGCCCGCCTCGGCATCGGTAGCGAGGCCGATGATGAGATCGGCAGCGAAATCGCTATAGAACGGGATGGACAGTGAGGGATGGAGGGAGGAGGGTTGCTCTGTGATCTGCTCTCGGCTCCAGGCACACCCACGGGGAGGGGAAGGCCCCCGGGGCGGGGGGCAACCCCGCCTGGATGGGCAAGCTCCGCACGCAGGCGTTCAGCGCACCACCCTGGTGGGGACTGACCCAGGTCCCTCGTCCAGCCATGCGGGGAGGGGGGCGGGGGAAAAGAGGCGAACGCGTGCCAAATCTCTGCGTGTCAAATGCATCCCCCTCGCGCGCAGAAGTCCGTGGAAGGGATCTGGCAGCACCAGGCGGAATCCCCCCTTGCCACCTGGCGCCCCCACGGGTGAAAACACGTGCCCAGTGCTTGTCGAGCCGCATGTCGGATACTTCCCTTAGGTGTCCCCCCTACAGTGGGTTTTGGAGGAAAAACTAAAAGCACCCCAAAAATAAGCAAGCATATTCCAAGATAGTCAGAAGGTCGTCGCCAGTCCCTCAGGAGCGCACACACACACACACACACACACACACACACCGTCGCGCGAAGTGGCCCGCCGGCCCATCCGAGGCACCCCGATCTACACCCGTGGGGTCCAGGTCCACAGGCCGAGCCACACCAAGAGGACTCGAGGCCCACGCTCTGACCAATAGAAAAACGAAAAACTGGGACAGAGAGGGACAAGGAGGAGGAGGAGGAGGAGGAGCAGGAGGAGGAGGAGGAGGAGGAGGAGGAGGGGCGCTAGGCTGGATGTAGGCCTGGGCGTTTTCAGCGTGTTCCAACTTGGGCGTCGGAGAGCGCCCGATCAATTCGGTTGGCTCCTCCTCCTCATCATCCTCTTCTCCCTCCCGCTCTGCTCGTGGCGCCTCGTGTCAAGCCAGAGGCTGCGAAACCATGGTAAGGCAGGGAGAAATTGCTGTAAATTCTAATTTTCCAATGTGTCCAATTCTCTGGCGCCGAAGCGATGCGGTAGGCAGAAAGTGCTGTAACTTCCCATGTTTCCCATTTGTCCAATTCTCTGGCGCCAAACCGCCAGCAACATCGAAGAGGCTTCGGCGACGAAGAATTGGAAAAATTGAAAAAATAGGTGTTGCAACATTTTCCAGCTGCCACAGCGCAGGGAGCGCGCCAAACCGCCAGCAACATCGAAGAGGCTTCGGCGCCGAAGAAATGGAAAATTAGAGAAAAATGGTTTTCACAGGGTTCGTGCTCTGCCGATCTCCCCAAGGCCTTAAGGCGGAGAAGGTTCGGCACCAGAGAACTGGAAAATTGGAAAACTTGGGTGTTCACAAGGGTTGTGCTCTGCCGCTCTCCCCAAGGCCTGAAGGCGAAGAAGGTTCGGCACCAGATAATTGGAAAATTGGAAAACTTGGGTTGTCACCGGGTTCGTGATCTGCCGATCTCCCCAAGGCCCGAAGGCGAAGGAAGTTCGGCACCAGAGAATGAGTTTTCACAGCGTTTGTGCTCTGCTGATTTTTCCAAAGTTCCAAAGCGAGAGGGCGAAACATGAATGCCACAGATCTCCGGCGGCCTCACACGCAAACCAAACGAAAGGTGGAGGGTCCTTGGGGGAAGGTACCCATCCCTTCTGTGGGGGGCGAAGAAATAGTGAACGACAGCATAAACGATTTCAAGGGGTTCAGTAGGAATCCTTCTTTGGAGGATTTCAATAGGAACCCTTTGGTTGAGGAGGTCAGTAAGAACCCTCCTTTTGAGGATTTCAATCTGAATCCTTGTGTAGAAGGTTTCAATCGGAACCCTTCTGTGGAGGATTTCAATAACAATCCTTATATAAAGGATTTCAATAGGAATCCTCCTGCGGAGGAGTTCAATAGGAATCCTTCTGTGCAGGATTTCAATCGGAATCCTTCTGTGGAGGATTTCGAAAAATCCTTCTGTGAAGGATTTCAATAGGAACCCTGAGATGGAGGATTTCAATAGAACTCCTTCTGTCGAGGATTTCAACCGGAATCCGTCTGCAGAGGATTTCAACGTGAATTTTCTTGTGGAGGATTGCAGTAGGAATCCTTTGGTAAAGGATGTCAAATGGAAACCTGCTGTAGAGGGTTTGAATAGGAATCCCGCTGTGGAGGACTTTCGGAGATTTCAATAGGAATGCTTGGGTTGAGGAGTTCAACAGGAACCCTTCTGCTGAGGATTGCAAAAGGGATCCTTCTGTGGAGGATTTCAAAAAGAATCCTTTGTGGAGGCCGAGAGAAACCGAAAATCCTTTGTGGAGGCCGAGAGAAACCGAAAACGCTTCGGAAAACCAAATCACCCCCCTACACCACCCCCACCACCACAAAAAAAACAACAAAATCAAACAAAACTCGGTTGTCAATCGCCAAATTATATGTTGTTAAAAAGTGTGCCTTCGTTCGGCCTGCACAGAAGAATTCCGATTGGACCCCTCCACAGACGGATTCCTAGTGAAACCCTCTACAATAGGATTCCGATTGGAACTCTTCGCAGAAGAATTCCACTTGAAATCCCCCCAAGAAGGATTCCTTTTGAAACCCTCCATAGCAGGATTTCTATTAAAATCCTCCACAGAAGGATGTTGCTTGAAATCCTCAACTGAAGCTTTCCTACTGAAATCCTCAACAGAAGGGTTCCTATTGAACTCCTCAACATAACTAAGCATTCCGATTATTTTGCGAAGCGTTTTCGGTTTCTCTCGGCCTCCACAAAGGATTCCTATTGAAGTCCTCGGCAGAAGGATTCTGCTTGAAATCCTCTACAGAAAAATCCTAGCTGTACCCCTCAAACAGAAGGATTTCTATTGAAATCCTATACAGAAGGGTTCCTATTGAACACCTCAACCCAAGCATTCCTATTGAAATCTCCGACAGAGGGGTTCCTGTTGAAATCCTCCACAGCAGGATTCCTATTGAAACCCTCGACAGCAGGATTCCTACTGGCATCCTTAACAAAAGAATTCCTATTGCAATCCTCCACAGGGAAATTCACTGCAAAATCCTCAACAGAACGGTCCCCATTGAACTCTTCCACAGCAAGATTTCGATTGAAATCCACGACAGAAGGGTTCCTACTGAAATCCTCCACAGAATGATTCATAGCGGAATCCTCCACAACAGGATTCCTATAGAAAGCCTCCACGGGAGGATTCCTATTAAAAATCCTCCCCGCAGAGGGATTCCTGTTGAAATCCTCCACATAAGGATTCCTAGTGAAACCCTATACAGAAGGCTTCCTTGTGTAGTTCTCAAACGAAAGATTCCTCGTGTACCCTTTACAAGAAGGAAAACGAGGCTGCTGAGGAGGAGGAAGATGGGGCTGATGACGAGGAGAGGGGGGAGAAAGAGGAGGAGGAGGAGGAGGAAAAGGAAAAAAAAGAGGAAGAGGAGGAGGATGAGGAGGAGGAGGGGAGGGGGAGGACGAGGGAGGAGGACGAGCGATGAGGAGAAAAGCGATGAGGAGGAATCAGCAGAAGAGGAGCAGGATGAATCGTTGACACATTCACCAGCATTCACATGCGCTTCCCCGTCCGTGTACAGTTGGACAGCCTCTTACGTTTCCATCGAAAAAAAAACATACAAACCGCCCCGCAAGGCGCCTCGAAGGCGCGCGTCAAGCTCGCAACTGCAGGGCGGGTGACGCGTCCAAGGGAAACGCCAGGTGACAGGAAGAGGAGGAGGAGGAGGAAGAAGAGGAGGAAGAGGAGGAGGAGGAGCAGCAGCTGCAGCAGTCAGACGAGAACAAGAGTTCACGCGGCCGCCCCGCCTGCTCTGCGGCGACCGTGGAGATTTCGGGCGCTGCTCTCAAGCGTTCGCTCTCCTGATAGGCGCCGCGCCCAATTCCCGTGCAGCAGTCGTCCCCCACGAGTGCCGCGCCCGCTCGCAGAATCATCCCTGCTGTCAACGCTATGCCTGTCGCTGCCTGTCATCTCTCTCTCCCTCTCTCTCTCTCCCCCGCTTTCACACAACATGTGTGTATGTACATATATATATATATACTAGAACCACGCGCGCGCTTCGCGCGCGCTTGGGTTCTAGCACGCCCGAGCCCTTGACAAGCTGGCGCGTACAATTCTTTGGGGGCATCTTGGGGGCCGTGTGGGCGGTATCAGGAGGTTCTGAAGGTTCCTTAATTCCAAAGCCCGTGTCACAGATTTCCCCTGGGGCTCTCTCAAACCACCAAAGGGTACCGAGGAAGCTCCACGTGGTGGGGCTCTTGGGGGCCATGTGGGGGTTCCTGGGAGCTTATTGAGGGCCTCTGAGGGCCTCTTTGGGGTCTCTAGGGAACTTCTTGGGGCCTCTTGGAGAACTTTTTGGGGCCTGTTGGGGACTCCTAAGGTCCTCTAGGGGCGGAGAGCTTCAAATGTCCGTTCGGGGACCCCATCTGGGCCCCTTCTTGAGCTTATTGAGGGCCTCTGAGGGCCTATTTGGGGTCTCTAGGGAACTTCTTGGGGCCTCTTGGAGAACTTTTTGGGGCCTGTTGGGGACTCCTAAGGTCCTCTAGGGGCGGAGAGCTTCAAATGTCCGTTCGGGGACCCCATCTGGGCCCCTTCTTGAGGTGCCCTGGGGCCCTCTTCGGCCGTCTTGGAGCCCTCTTGGGCCATTGGAGCCCTCGTGGGAGCCTCTAAGGCAGTCTCGGGACGATCTTGGGGACCTCTCGGGCCATCTTGGACGCTGTGAAAGCCTGGGAAGCGAATATGGTAAACATATACGTCCGAAGGAATTCGGGCCATGTTTGCCTCCTGGGGCCCTCTCGGGGGGCTTCTTGGGGGCTGTGTGGAGCGTCACGGGGCGTCTTTGAAGGGGCCCTGGGACACACAAATAATTTACACACAAATAACAGGTTTCCAATAGTTTCCTATATTTTCTGAGATTTTGTCTTCCCCCCCACTTACCATATTTTCCCATATGTTCTGCAAAATCGACGATTAATTGTGTCTGTGTGTGTTGCCCTCCTAAGTATTTGTTTCTCTCCGAAAACGTGCACTCAACGGAGATCATGTCACGGACGAGTCGGACTCTGCAGGGCAATGTCAGACCGTGTTGCAAGCTCGAACCTCTTAGCAAACTTGGAGGAGAGGCTCAGTCCGGCTGGGCCAGCTCGCCCGGCTGGACAGGCTCGAAAACGGCCCGTTTGATGCGGTGCGGCCACATGAGCAAAAGGTCTTGCCGTTTGGAAGAAAACAAAACGAGGAGGATGGCAAATAACCGAATGCTTGAAGTCGGCGGGTGCCCGACAACGAAGCGAGGCAAAAGGGGGGCGAGGGACGAAGAGAGAGGCGGCGGCAGGGCGCTGGCCGCTCGGGACATGCCGTCCGAAGCGGGGCTGCCAAGGGCAAATGATCGAAGCGTGGCCTAGAAAAACAGGCAGTACAGCGTGGCCTCAAGCATCAAAAGCGTGAAGCGTGGCTTGAAACGTCAGGCAGGGGCATGGCGTGGTCTGAGCGAGTGAACATGTGAGCACTATCTCACTACCAGCCCTCTGCCGAGGTGGGCAGGCACCCAGATGAGCGCGCCTGTGAAGAAGCCCGAAGGCGCTCTCAGAGCTGGCCCGAATAGGTGAGCATGCCTGCGAGCAGGCCCGAAGGCGCAGCGCAGTGCATCCACGGCTGAAGCCTAAGCCAAAACTGACGTGCACAGAGAAAGGAAGGGCGCACCCTGCAGGCTCGATCAAAAGCACATCGTTGAGCGGTGCTGCAGCCTCGCCTGGGCACGGCCCTCTCGGAGCAGCAGCCAGACAAATGCGGCTTGCATGCTCGTGCCTTGCTGATCAGGGCCGCCGACTCGGGCGAAGGCGGCAGCTACAGTGGCGGGAGAAGCAGCAGCAGCAGCAGCAGCAGCAGCAGCAGGGAAGAGATCCAAGATCGACTGAGAAAGCAAGACAGGACTGGCCTGGCGAACGAAACGCTCAGCACGATGTAGATTCAGGAGGTCGATGAAATCATGAACGCTCTCAGAGCTGGTCGTGTCTCGCCGCTCGAAGATGGTATGATCAACGACGGCGGCTGTTAAACATTGTGAGCCTATATAGAGACCTCCGAGGCTGCTTGATTTCTGGCGCCTTGGTAATAAGGGCCATCACAGAAGAAGCACCTGGAGCTGCTGTCGCCTGAAGGAGGTGTCTCCACTAGCGCAAGCACCCCACACTGCTGGCACTGTGTGTTCTGAATGTCCGCTGGAGTGCGATTCCAGCATGGGCGCTCGCGGAGCTCGTTGCAGTGGTGGCGAAGGCTCACGAGCGCACCATGGTAGAAGCAGCATGCTTCTGCATCGATGGTCACATTGCATGAGACCAACAGCTCAGTGATCATAGCCATAACCGTTTCGTTCGGTGTGGGCGCAAAAGAGGAAGCAGCAAGGCTTCTGCTTGCACTTCCCCTGCCCCTGTGCGAGGAAGTTGCCAGCATGGGCACTCCGGGCTCTTGAATAGCATGTGGGTCTACCTTTCGTAAGTGATGCCTTAAATCAGGCCACACTTCTCTCCAGCTCATAACTTCTGAGTGCACCTGCCGCATGGGCGGTCGGGGAGCCACCTGGAGTTGGCAACACTGCTCTACAAGGCACCTGCATTTGCCCGCCAGCCCGTTGCCGACCAACATTGCCAACTCGGACTGAGGCTGCGCTCCCTTCTTTATTAGCTCCATGTCCTCGGTTCGACCGAATGGGTACAAGCTTGTGGCGACGAAGAAGATCAGACGACCGAATGAGAACACATCTGCCGCGGTGCTCGGCGCAGCCCGACCACGAATGACCTCTGGTGCCGCCCAGCGCAGAGTTCCGCCCAACGGGTTCGCATGTTTTGTCAAAGCTCTTGCAAGACCGAAGTCGAGCAGCTTAGCTCGGACAGGCGCGGATGAACCCTCTTTCACCACAAATATGTTTTGCGTTTTTAGGTCACCGTGAACTACGCGGGGAGTCCTCGAATGTAAATAAGACAGCGCGGACGAAACATCCACAAGCAACGTCACTCGGACTGCATCGTTCGGACGGCCCTGTAAGCTGACATCGCCGCTACGAGAGTCTCCCAGCCTGCTCCGGATGAATTGCCCCAGTGTGGACCCCTTCACACAATCGAGAATGAGCCCTAGGGTGCTTTTTGAAATGTCCACGCAGGCCCCATGGAAACTCACGATATTTGGATGTCTCAACCTTCGCAGAATGCGCAGCTCGTTGCAAATCGAGACGACGTGGGATCTCCTCAGAGATTCTTTCGGAAATTTCAACGCGACTGCGACTCCCAGGTACAGACCCGTGTAAACTCGTCCAAATCCCCCCTCGCCAAGCAGTGGACCTGAAGGTATAGCCACGTCTTCCATTGGTACCAGCCACTGCTCCTTCTCACCAATTTCCGCAAGCTGCTGCAAGCTGGCCGTTGTATCGTTGCCAATCTTGAAGGCACTCTCAGTCGCTGAAGTCGACGGAAACGACGCTCCGCTGATGGAAGGGGGACGTCCAGGCGTTGATTCCTCCTTCTGCCCCGCCGACATCGCTGACAATGCGAATTCCGACTCGAACCGGAGACGCTTCTCAGTGATGACTAGCACATATGAGCAGCGCTCGTGGTATTCAATGGCGTGTTTCCCTAGAGATGCCAGGCAAATGAGACAAACCAGAAAGCACGTGTGAATCGGAGCGTTGTGCATCTCAGGCCCTTCGAGTGCAAACACAGGAACGATATATGCCAGAACGCCGGCCAAATCAATAGCAACGATTGCAAAGAATCTGATAGGCAACAGCAAGTGGGCTGCTGTGACAACGCAATCAATGGCAAGTAATAAGTTTGCATCGTTGGCCCCTTCGATGACCTCTTCTGCGTCATAGCCCAGGACACGGGCCATATACCATGGAATGGCGAAAGTGTGTGCTGCTAGCCCAATAGTAATCATGGACACACCGACGATCTCCAGCGCGCGAGCGCTCAACCTGTTCATGCAAGGACAGGACCACGTGCAGAACGCGAAGAACGCCAGGAACAAAGAGCAAGTAACAGCAAGATGGCAGCGCTCTTTCACGTCTCTTTCGAGGAGACTGCCATAGCGCTCGGGACGCCTATCCCATGGCTGCTCTACGATCAGGATGACCAAGATCAGCAGCGCGAGACACAGAGAACACTTGCGCATGCTGGATAGGAGCAGAGGCACGCGGTGCTTGGCGAAGCCGGCCTCCAGACCAGGGTCACTGAACCGCAGCGTCAGCGAAGCAGGTGCGCTGCCGCCAGGCAGGCCATCTGCAGCGCCGAGCGTCATGCTTGCCAGGTATGGAGCGCGGGCAAGATCGAGGAAACTTCAGCTCCCCGACCCTGCCCACATGGCTTGCCCCCGAGGCGAGCCCACCCTTGAGCCAAAATGGCTACGGGGAGCGTCATGGGACGACTTGGGGGCTCCTCGGCTGTGTTGGAGGCATCTCTGTGGCCATCTTGAGCCATCTGGGCCCTCTCGGAGGGCATCTAAATCGTCGTGGAACGCCGGCACCGCCACGGGGGAATGAAGCTGCCCCACCCAGCCTGAAACGCTTGACAAGTGTATTGTGCACACCGTGCGACATTTATGCGGCTGGCGTTGCATGCCTGAAGACGGCACGGTGGTCGACGTCGATCTTTTACAAAACCAATGTCGCTTCCGCGGGCTTCAGGCGAGCTTCGGCTGGCTTCCGCCAGCCAGATCGCCCTCGACTTACACCCGCCAGCTACCGCGGGCCTTCGGCTGGCCTCCGCCGTGGGCGAGAAGACAACTTTTGAATTCTTCGAAAATCAAAACTTGTTTGAAACACTCTACACGGACTTACGCGCCGAGGGAGGGTCCCTGGGCATCGAACCACCGAAACGCGTGGCGCCAGACTCGAGAATTTACATAGAGCACGATACTGGCCTGTTGGCATCAAGTCCATCCCGCAACCGCGCTTGGGTTGTGATGCAGAGGTCGCTTGGATGCCTGTTGGGGTTTCTTGGGAAGCCTCTGGGGAGCCACAGTTTTGAAGCATATTGAGGGTCGTTTGGGCGCCTCTTGGGCCTCTTGGGGTCTAAAGGCGATCTCGGGGGTCTCCTTGGGCAGCATGGCTCGAAATCTCAATGCGAGTTCTCTCTCTCTCTCTCGTGGAGCCCTCTACTGGGCTCCGTTGGGGCCCTATTGGGCACCTTGTGGGCCGAGAGAGTGCTTCTCACGAGCGCTTGACTTTGGAACATTCGGCGGCGCGTTTCGAACCCAGGGGGGGCCCCCAACATTCGGCACCGTCGATCAGAACCAGGGGGACCCCCCTCCCCCGTAACCGCCAACCCTCCAAGGGGGGGGTGTCCAAATCTCCCTACCCCCGGGAAAGAAGTAGGAAATTCCAACTCCCCCAATATCTTCTCTTCCGGCTCTCCGGAGGGGGGGTGGTTCGAACCCCCCCCCCGTGCCGGTGTTGGCGCCTGCGCTGGCGGCGGCCGGCAGCACCAACGGCGGGGAAACAGCGACGATGACCAGAGAGAGCCAGGCCGCAGCGGGAAAGTATAAATCGCCACATCGAGCCGTCGCTCCCCAAAAGCCACCGGGAGCTCTTCGGAAGTTCCAGGAGACGCCTCAGAGGCGCCCAGAGGCCCTCACACATGCCCCTCAGACGCCCCCAAGACCCCTCTGACGAGACCCCAAGAGGCATCCATTAGAACTGTGACCCAAAGCCAAGACACGGTGGCGGGAAGACCCGAAAGCCACACCACCACCACCACCACCACAAACCACCACACCACCACAAACCACCACACCACCACCACCACCGCCACAACCACAACCACCACAACCACCACAACCTACCACAACAACAACAACCACGACCACCACATACCACCACACCACCACCACGACCACAACCGCCACCACCACCACCGTCACCACCCACTACAAACCACCACAAACCACCACAACACCACAACCACCACCATAAACCACCACACCACATCCACGACCACCACCACAACCCACCACCACCATCACAAACTACCACACCTCCGCCACCACAACCACCCACCGACCGACCCACCACCAGCACCTCCACCAGCACCACCACCACCACTACCACTACCACCAGAAATCACCACGCCACCACCACCATCGCCACTATCACCACCACCACAACCCACAAACCACAACCACCACCACCACCACAAACCACTACGCAACCACCACCACCACATCCCACCACCACTACCTCCACAACCACAATCCACCAATACCACCACCACCGCCACAACTACCACCACCACTATCACCACCACGAAACACCACCACCACAAACCCCCACACGTCGTCCACCACCACCGCACCACCACACAACCACCCCACCACCAACACCACCACCACCACCACCACAAACCACCACCACCACAACCCACCACCACGACCACCACCACATACCACCATCACCACAACCACCACCACCACCACCACAAGAAACCACCACAGCACAACCACGACCACCACCACCACTACCACCACCACAACCCACCACCACCACCACCACCACCACCACCACCACCACAAACCACCACACCACCACCATCATCACCACCACCACCACCAACAACAACCACTACAACCACCACAACAAAACACCACACCACCACCAGCGCCACAACCACTACCACCACAACCACTACCGCCACCACAACCACCAGGTCAAACCACCACACCACCACCGCCACCAACACCACCACCACAACCCACCACCACAACTGCCACCACCACCACCACACGCCACCACACCACCTTCTCCACCACCGCCACCACAACCACCACAATCACCACCACAACCACCACCAACCACCACACTACCACCACCACCACCTCCACCACCACCACAACCACCACCACCGCCACCACTACCACCACCACCACCACAACCTACCTCGCGCCACAACCACTACCACCACCACAACCACCCACTACACCACTACACCACCACCACCACAAGCCACAACCCTCCACCACAACTACCACCACCAACACCACACGCCACCACACCTCCACATCCACCACCATAACCCACGACCACGACCACCACCACATCCCACCACCACCACCACCACAACCACCACAACCACCACAAGCACGACAAACCACCACACTACATCCACGACCACCACCACCGCCACCACTACCACCACCACAACCCACCACCACCACCACAAACCACCACACCACCACCACCACCACCTCCGCCACCACTACCACCACCACCACCACCACCCAGCACCACAACCACCACAACAAAACACCACACCACCACCACCACCACAACAACCACCACCACCGCCACCACCACTACCACCACCTCGACCTACCTCGCGCCACAACCACTACCACCACCACAACCACCAGGTCAAACCACCACACCACCACCGCCACCAACACCACCACCACAACCCACCACCACAACTACCACCACCACCACACGCCACCACACCACCTTCTCCACCACCGCCACCACAACCACCACAACCACCACCACAACCACCACCAACCACCACACTACCACCACCACCTCCACCACCACCGCCACCACCACCACCACCACTTCAACCCACCACCACCACATCCTCAGAGAGGCCCCAAGAGACAACCAAGAGGCGCCCAGGAGGCTTCACAAATGTCCCTCAAAGGCCCCCGAGAGCCCTCCGACGAGACCCCAAGAAGCATCCATTAGGACTCTGACCCAAAACCAAGGCACGGTGGCTGGAAGGCCCGAAGGCCATGAGGCAAACACCTTTCGACGCAAGCGCCCCCAATGCCGTTTCGACGGTCTCCGCCGACGCCAGCGCCGGCCCGAAGAGAGGGAGAGAGGACAAGGAGGGGAAGAGGGGGGAGAGGGGGGGGTTCGACCCCCCCCCCCGTCCCCCCCACCCCCCCCCTCCGTCACGCGAGAAAGGGGGCGGGGGGGGGAATTCGAAACCCGCCCCCCCCCCCCTTCAATCCTGGGGGTGGGGGGGTCCGGTTCCAACCCCTCCCCCCCCGAGGCCTCCAAGACAGACCAGGAGCGCTACAAGACGCCCAAGATGGCCCAAAGACGGCCCACGAGGCCCCAAAGAAGCCCCAAGAGCGCTCGAAGAGGACCTCCAAGAGGGCCCAAAGAGGCAACAATCATTCCGAACCATCCTTTGGTGTTGGGCCCTCGTTTTGAAGAGACAGCGCTCCGCGTCACTCCCATCCTTCCTCCTCCGCTTCCTCCTTCCTCCCATCCTTGCCTCTGCTCTCCGCATGCCCATCCCATTTCGGTGCACCCCCCACACGCTTCGCGGCCCCATAGGGAGCTCCGCCGAAGGTCCCAGTGGCAGGGTTCGCATGGCCCCGCCGCGTCCATTTCGGCACACCCCTCACACGTTCCGTGACCCCTTGGGAGCTTCGCCGAAGGCCCCAGTGGCAGGGTTCGCAAGGCACCGCCAGTGGCAGGGTTCGCATGCCACCACCGCCTCCATTTCGTCACACCCCTCACTCGTTTCGTGGCCACTTGGGAGCTTCGCCGAAGGCCCCAGTGGCAGGGTTCGCATGGCACCGCCGCCCCGATTTCGGCACAATCCTCGCACAGTTTGTGGCCCCACAGGGAGCTCCGCCGAAGGCCCCAATGGCAGGGTTTGCATGGCACCACCGCCTCTATTCTGGCACACCCCTCACACGCTTCGTGGCCCCTTGGGAGCTCTGCCAAAGGCCCCAGTGGCAGGGCTCGCATGGTACCGCCGCCTCCATTTCGGCACACCCCTCACACGCATCGTGGCCCCTTGTGAGCTCCGCCGAAGGCCCCAGTGGCAGGGTTCGCATGGTACCGCCGCCTCCAGTTCGGCACACCCCTCACACGCATCGTGGCCCCATAGGGAGCTCCGCCGAAGGCCCTAGTGGCAAGGTTCCACCCCTCACACGCTTCGTGGCCCCATAGGGAGTTCCACAGAGGACGATACTCACTCCGACAGAACTCACAAATGCATGTGGTTGGGTCCATCGCCAAGATAATTGATCCTCATTGTGTGTTCAGATGGTTTTTGCGTTCTCGCGTTTGCGATCTTCCGACGCTCCAAGATTGCCCCAGAGGCCCGGTAGACCGCCCCAAGACGGCCCAAGAGGCCCCCAAACGGCCCAAAAAGCACCCAAGATCACCCAAAAGGGCCCCAAAATGAGCCCAAGAGGAGGACCACGAACCGACAATACGAGCTTCGCCCCGGTCCTCGTCGGCCGTCTTGAAGGCATCTTGGGCGTCTTCGGGGCCTCTTGGGACCGTCTTGGGCCCTCTTGGGACCCCCTTAGCCTGTCGTGGCCCGTTTCGGGGCGGGCCCGGGCCGTCTCGGGAGCACTGGGATCTCCACAGAAACCCCTGCGGGCGCCATGGGGGGTACAGGCACCGGCCCGCCCCCCTGGGCCTACTCCGATATATAGATAGTTATATATACACATGCATACAAACATACAAACATACATACAAACATACATACAAACATGCATACAAACATACATACAGACAGACAGACAGACAGACAGACAGACAGACAGACAGACAGACAGGCATACCTACATACATGTATACATACATACGCATATACATATTCATATGCATATACACATATACATAAATATATACATAAACATATACATATATATATATAAATATATATATATATATATATATATATATATATATATATATATATACATATACATATATATATGTATATATATACATATACATATACATATACATATACATATACATGTACGTATACATGTACATATGCATATACATATACATATACATATACGTATACACATCCATATACATATTCATATACATATACATATACATATACATATACACATCCATATACATATACATATACGTATACCTATAATTAAACATATACATATGCATATACATATACATATGCATACACATATACATATCAAAAATACATATACACATACATATACATATACCTATACCTATACCTATACCTATACATATACATATACATATACATGTACACACACATATACATATACATATATGGACATATTCATATGCATGCATACATACATGTACACACACATACATACATACATACATACATGCATACATACAGGCAGATAAATATACATACATACGAACATACATGCATACATGCATACATACACATACATATACACATGCACATACACATACACATACATATACACATACACATACACATACACATAGATACATATACAGTTACGTGTGTATACATATACGTATCGATATATATTAAACATGTACATGTACACTACATATACATATACATACACATATACATATACATAGACATATAAATATACGCATGTATGCACAGTTACATATACATAGTCATATACACATGCAAATGTATATACATATGCATAAACATAAACATACACGAGTACATATACATATACATATGCAAATACATATACGTATATATACACACCTATACATATACATATACATATGCATAGACATATGCATATACATATGCATACATGCATTGTTATGTATTTATTTGTGTATACGTGTGCACGTATATCATTCGGCCATTCTTTCATACATGCATATTTACATACATACATACATACATACATACATGCATGCATGCATGCATGCATACATACAAACAGACATACATACTTATGTATAGGCATACGTCCATACATGCATACATGCATGTATGTATACATACAAACATAATCACACATACATGCATGCATACATACATGCATGCATGCATGCACGCATACATACATGCATGCATGCATGCATCCATCCATCCATGCATACGTGCATACACTCATACATGTATATACACAAACATATATACGTACATACATATATACAAACATGAATGTATGCGTGCAATCATGCTATGCATGCATACATACATGCACTACATGCGCTAGAACCACGCGCGCTACGCGCGCGCTTTAGGTTCTAGCGCAGGCCAGGGCGCCTTCATGCCACATTGGCTCAATGTCTCGACGCTTCAGTTCGAGAGTTGCGGGGTCGTCGGAAGTAATGGCCGTCGTGGGGCACGGAGTCCTCGTGCCGTCTTGCGTCGGGCTTTGGACGTCGCAAAGCGTTCTTGGACTGACTCTCGGGCTGTTCTGGGGGTGTTTCAGGGGTGTGCTGGGCCGTACTGGCGCCGTCCAGGGTTCACCCAGGAGGTTTCTTGGGCCGCTGAGGCGCTGTCCGGCCCTGCCCGAAGGCTATCTGGAGGCCTCCAGGGCGGGACAGCAGGCAGGCACGCCTGCCACCAGCGGGGGGCCTCCTGGGGCTTCCCAGGGGGTCCCTTCGGGGCAGGGTGAGCCTTCCTAGGGGCTCATGGAGGGCCTCGTGGGGCTTCTTTGGAGCCTCTGGATGGGCTCTGGGGGCCGCCTGGGGCTTTCGGCCCATCCCGCCACCGTGCCAGGGTTGTGGCTCCGAGGCCTGGTACAGGACTGGTGTTCTGGGAACACGAAGATCACGAAGTGGCCCACAGTTGGCTCTGGGCATTCAAAGTGTGGCTTGGGAATGGTGTTCTGGGAACACGAAGAACACGAAGTGGCCT